AGTAAATAGATCTTTTAGAACCCTACAACTTTTGTCTGAAACACTTTTCTGTAATACTTATATTTTCTATATATATTTTCTATTGTATATATACGTAGGAAAAGTATATATACTGCTGGAAAAGTTACTGCAAACAATATGAAAAAAAACATGTAAAATTCGGTAAATGGCTTTATTGTTTTTCGAAATATTCGCCTTTAAGATCGATACATGTTTGCATACGCTCGAACCAATTTTCGAAGCATTTTTTCCACTCTGAGGCTGTAATCTCAGAAATCAGTGTACGAAATGTTTCAACAACTGCTTCAGGCGACTCAAATCGTTCACCACGCATCTTTTTTTTTAATGTTTGGGAACAAAAAGAAATCATTAGGTGATCAGGTGAATATGGACAATGAGTCATCAATTCGATATTTTTACTGGATAAAAAATCAACGGTTTGATGTGCTGTGTGACAGCTGGCGTTGTCATGATGAAGGATGATGCGACGATTTCGGTTTGTTCTATGCAATTCATTTATGACTTCTGGTAAACAAATTGTTGTATACAAATCGGTATTTACAGTTCTTCGATCCTCTAAAGCCACGGTTGCCACATGTCCGGTATAACCGAAGAAACAAGCAATCATTTGCTTGGCAACACTGCGTGAACGAATAACTTTTGTTGACATTTAACAAATAGAAGGACTCTTTATATGAAAAATAATAAATAATAACTAAAGGGCGAAGTAAGAGTCAATACGTAAAAATTATAGTTTGAAATTGATGAAACATGAAAGATTGAGTTAGATTCAGTCTGAGTATAAAATAACATTTAATTGAATAAATTAAGTAACACATAAATAAATAACATAAATATGACAAGTTTCGGCTACATGATTGAGCCCTCTTCAGATACAATTTTACATGAATTTGATATACAATAAGTTCACGCAAAAAACGCATAATAAATCCTGTTCGGATGTAAAAATCTACGCCGTTCACATGCCATTCGTGATCAATGACTCTTGGAAATCTAATTACAATACAATATAAAGTCTTATTACAATATAAACGTATAAATTCAAACAAATAATAACTTACCAAAAGCCATGTGTAAATTACTTTAAAATTTTCCAGAGAAAATCGGTTGTGTATGGTATAAGCCATTCGTAGGCATAAAGCGAACATTGTGCGACAATTATAATGTACTCTCTTACACATACGATTGTCGATACAGATCAACACATACTGAGAGAGGAGACGGAATGTTAGTAACAAAGTTTATTTATAATAGGTATATATGCCTTGTGGAGACCTTCCGTGTCAGTTTGTAAATTTAAACTAACGGTCTGCTTTTGGATTGGTCGCGGGCCATCTCGCGAGCTTCCGCGAGTCCTCGCGACTTGCTATCGTGTCGCGCGCCCTAGATTGCTCAATGCTGGCGTCGTTTCGGTCGCAACGGTCCCCTCTGGATTGCTTTTGCCGGCGTGTCGTCCGGATTCGGTGGGTTCCCTTACAGACAAGCTCGGCATCCGGATTCAATGTCTCCTCTCGGTAGAGGCTTCCTTGCGGCACCAATAGCGAGGTCCCTCGCTTGCACTATGGCAGAGGGTGGCCATCCCCTCACGCCGCCTTAGTCGCTCCCGCGGCATAATCGTCTGTAAAAAGCTCGGCTACAGGAAAACAGTTATGTACAGGGCGTTAGCTCGATAACAGAATGGTATCACCTGTGCGATACCCCTCCTCTGAGTGGCCTCGGGCCTCCAATATGGTCTTTTATCCTCTTCTTGGCCGCCTCCTTGAGGTGATATGGAATGTGTCGCACATTAAATTACCTACCGCAGCCGCCGATACTAAAAATTCTTAAACAAATTTACAAAAAGAAATAGTAATACTACGCGAAACGCGACGATAAAAATCTCCAAATTATTGCTCGAAAATCGCAACAAGCGTCGGCACGCCCGCCCTCTGCGTCGGGAAGACACAGGACAAATTTGCCGCGCTACTTCGGCCAGGTCTAATGATCCTTGTGACGGACGGTGAAAAACGTCACGTCACAATATATATATATATGTATATACAACCAATATGTATGTGAATAAACATATACATATATTATATTATATACATATACATACACATAAATTGATTTTTAATTGACACATAATTTGAATAACATGTATGCGAAAATAAAAATAACGTATGCTTTTCTAATATATTAATTATATCAACAGCAATCATGGAAGCTATATCGTGTTACGTATATTAAGTAATGGAAAATCAGCGATTAAATTTACAACTATTTATCCGTTTTTTGTACGTACCGGACTTGTTAAAAACATACCTATCAGGTAATTTTACAACAGTATACTATTGTAACAAATTTTTTATATCGATATATAAAAAGCATTTATTTTATATTATTTATTTTAATAAAAAAAAATCTTTATTGTAATAAATGCTTTTTATATATCGATAATTAATGAATAAGATGTTTGTGATCGTTATCTGTAACAAAATTAGATTAAATTCCATTTTGTTTACCGATAGGTTTTCATGGTTAACACCTGAAGTTTTACCGCAAGAAGTGGCTTCGTCAATAATTAAAGCGCAAAGACGAAATTATGAAAATCAAAGTGTACCTTCATATTGGCTACCTGTTTCTAAGCTAGGAAAGTATGTATAAATCACGACACAAAAAAATTTAATCATAAATATAAGTACATAATGTATTTTCAAATATATAATAATGAGCTGCAGGATAGTTCATTGTAAATATATAAAATTATGTTGTATTCAATATTATCATTCAATACTATATAATTATTATTTTACGTCTATAATAAAAATATTTTTTATTTCAGAAATTTACCTGATACAGGATTAAAATTCATAAAAGATCTTGTCCTTGATTATAATTCATTTTGATATCCAGATAATTAAAAAATATATAATATGTATATGAAAATTAATTCTAACTATATTGAAATATATGTTTTTATAAATAAATATATATGTATATATGATATGTATATAATATATTATGAAATGTATAAATTATATATGATACTGTTATTTAGAAGTCTAAATTAAAAACCTCATAAAAATATATTTTACTAATGTTCTAAAAAATTCGAGCGTAAAATATCACTAGAAATTACGTCAAGACAATCGTATCCTTTCAATCCTACTTTTGCACCAGCAATGCAGCACGCAAATCTAATAGTTTGTTGTAGAACTATATCATTAATAAATTTTGCTCGATTGTATCCCGAACTTCCTGTACCTAAATTTTCCTTAATATCTCGTTTAACTGTAGTGTTATTATCAGAGGTATCCTTCGTTTGATTATCATTCATGCAAGTTGCTTCTTCTTTATATTTATACATAAATTCAATTTTGTTTTTATTCAAATAATACAGAGCAGCTGCATTAAATGTATCACCTGCACCTAAAGTATCGATTACCTTTCGAGGTGGGAAAGCTGGCGATTGTACTATTGAGCCACACGGAGTACGAGCGATTGCACCTTCCTCGGACCAAGCACAAATAATAGCTCCTCTAAAAAGAGATTAATCTCTTATATATATATATATGTATATATATAGAGTACAATATTATGTATTCTTTTGTATTGACGCATCTTTTATATTTATAAATATTAAAGTAATTGGTGTATTTTCTTACTTAGAATCTTGGCCGATGTTATGTATCACTTCGTTCATATTACTGAAACCCAGATACTCAGCGAATTCTTTTGCTATAAATGCTACATCAATATATGGTAATAGATTCAATAACCCAGAACCTGATCTGGGACTTTCTAATTCTACACTAATTGTAATTGGAATGCGGTTTTTGGTAGCGCGTGTAAAATTTAATGAATTATTATAATTGTCTATACGTTGTATCATAAGTAGCACTACGTCTACATTTCTTCCCTAAAAATAAGAAACGATTCAAATGCTTCATATAATACTTCTTACATTATAAGACAAACCTCAAAATGAATCCAACTATATTCCTCTAAATTAAGTTGCTCGAAATTCTTTAATGTCAATTCGGGTAAATCACAGTGATGAACAATTGTGCGAGATCCAGTGTCCAAACTCAAAATAATAGTTGAGACGGGGCATCCAATGCCATTTATCATGCGACAATGGGAATAGTCAATTTTATACTTGCGCAGATCGTTTTGCAGAAAATTAATATGCTCATCTGCGCTCAAGCACGCCAGAAGTTCACACGGTTGTCCTATTAATGATAGTACAGTACAAGTATTAGATGCATTGCCCCCCCTTTGCCATCTGTATTCGATCGATCTGAAAATTTGTTTATAACAAGAAATTAAAAATGTTTAAATTATAAAAATCCGCAAAAATTGCATATTATAAGTTATCTTTTCAAACAATTGATACGAATTAAAAGAATCGGTAAAATTAGAAAACTTTTGCGAAAATTTAATAAATTAGTGTGTTATTGATTTACTTATAATTCTATAAAATAAAAGGTAACGGTTAAAAATATATGTAATATCTCTTAGGTAATGTATGTATATATTAGATATATACTATATATTATATATATATGCATCTAAGATTTTTTAAAGTTTTGTTTTATGCACATTACTGTTATATAAATAAAACATATAAATAAAACTTAAAAATACAGTTTCAGTATATTTTTATGAAAATATATTTTTAAACATATATGATATATGTATGTATTGTATGTACATGAAAAAATATGGTCAAAGTTCAAGGTTATTGATTAGCACATGTCTAGGCCTGATTTTCTAATAATAAAACTGTTGCAATTAAATTCAATTATCATAGGCTGCGTTCGGAAACATCGTCTGAGTGCCTTCGTGTATCATTTTATCCTTATTATTCACCCAATGTTAAACAAGGATAAAATGATACACGGGGGCATCCGGGTGATGTTTCCGAACGCAGCCATGGATCGAGTACCAGTGAAGTATTATCAGTGTTGGACCGTATCTAGGTAAAAGTATCTAGATACAGTATCTAGATACTTTAGCTATTCCTAAGTGCATTACCTAGATCCTAGGCGGAGATACCTATATCCGTATCTAGTTACTTTTTGATACGGTATCTTTTAAGTTTTAGATACATAGATATTTATACACAAATACTGTCGCCGCCATTAAGAGTGCCTTCCTACAAACGACACAGTATAACATAGTGATCATCTCATCCTTGTTTAACATTGACGAACAACAAGGATGTAATGGTACACTGTGCCTCATACCGTGTCATCTGTGTCGCTTGTTGAAAAGCATACTAAATCAACTCAAAAATTAGCAATCTAATACTAGTAACTATGCGCTGATATACTAATTAAAGACCGATATTCTTATGGTTAAAGCTGTTCATTAAAACTAAAAATTTATGTAATCAAGGGTAAGAAATTGATAATGAGTAGAATTAATTTTATGATTTATCAGTTTTGTAGATATGCATATGCATGTAAAACTAAATAATACTCGATTTTTATTTAAAACTATTAATGAAACCGATTTTAATGTTATCGTCTGGGTTTTGTTAAAATAAACAAACAAAATGTGATATTTAATTTACGTTGCTTATTACTTTTACTTTTCCTGTTTTCCCCCATTTTTCCTTCTTTTTTTGTTGAAAGTACCTAAAAAATATCTAAATTTTCAGATACTTTTTATTTATATCTGTATCTATACCTAGGTAATTGTAAAAAAATGTATCTATACTTATATCTAAATACTTTTCCCACACAATACCTATATCTACATCTACCTAGATACCATTCAAACGGTATCTGTTCCAACACTGAGTATTATATACATATACTGTTCAGTTTACACGTGATTAGAGATCCGACTATTACTATCAAAAATGCGTTCCCCTTAACGCTCGCAACGTTCATGGAATTATTTCATCTTTAGTATTTATCAAATGTTAATAAGGATGAATAATGTTCAAGCGTTGTGAAAATGGAACACATCTCAATATAATCTTGATTGAAATTATGTAAACATTTAAATATTAGATAGCGTATATTCATATCTGTGATTGATTGAAGGGCGCGATCAATAAATTCACTGCGTTCTCTCACGAGGCAAATTTATTTGAATTAAGATAAACAGATAATCTCAGGATCTAGACATATACCTATATTTAGACAGAACTTTATTTCTTTATATTGTTATTATGGTCGGCGTTTATAGCGTGGAATCTTGGAACCATATTCAAAGTTTAATGTGAAAATTCGACACTTAAGAAATCCAAGAATTGAATTAAAAAACAATCGTAAATTTTTTAAAATGTGCACAGCTGTCGATATTCATGACAGCAGTACAACTACGCGCATAATAGAGATTCGAATGAATTTATCTATAGTAGAAATTGCGGGAGAACGGCAAATTTCGCAATTGTCACCACTTCATTTCACCGTCCTTCACTCGAAATTTCCACACCCACTGGCGAACTGCGGCGAGCCAATTCGCCAGGCCTAATTTTTATTAATCTTAAATGCTTTTTTAAGTATAATATAATAATTTAATTGTAATCTTCAAGAACAATTAAATAACATAATGAAAAAAAAAGCATTTGATATTAATATAATATCTAATAATAAATTTTATGTATGTATCCGGACGTAAATGTCCAATTATTGGGACGTTTACCTTAACTCTAAAAAAAATGAAAGTTACATTACTAACCTTTGAGTGGAATCTTCCGAAGGAAATTGTATGCACATTTGAACGATGTCAAGGCAAATGCGTCCCACACATAGAATCTTCAACGTATTGGTTTTCATCGACGATTCCCCACAGATGATCTCCTCGCAAATACTTGATGTCATGTTTAGTCAGGATATTTATTTTCCTTCACACTCTGATCTGCGTAGCTGCTGTCCCATAGATCTCTTTTCTTTTTTATTAAGCAATCGTTCCTATCACTCGCAAGATACAACGTTTTAAATATGATCTAAATAAGGTCAACGGATCACGACAGATTACAGCTTGACTTCAAGTGCGATCAAAGTCTCACTATGAATGCCTTGAAGCATCGACCAATCAGAAGAAAAAACTTTACGAATTGATCATTCAAAAAATTCTTTAAAACATTTGTAGCAATAATGTTGACCGTATAGAATAAATTTTTTATTTGTGGCGTCCCCTAAAATTAGCCGCAGATAATTTTTATTCATTAGGATATACTTATCTCTAAACAGATTATATATATAATAAATTAAATATAAACTCCTTATATACATAAAAGCTGCCTTTGCGCATTATAATGCGATTAATTAATCGATGAATTAAAAAAATTTATCTATACTTTAAAAAAGTCAACCAATTGGAAACCTATAAAAAGAAAGCTATCATATTATAATTTAATCAATTTAATATTGCAACTTATATATGTTCTATATATAGAATGCTATTTTATATATATTTCGATAACTTTCAGCATTTTCATTATTTTCTCCACAATTAATTTAAAGACAGAAATGGCGCGTATACCTTATATTCGTAGTACATACTTCCCGTTTAAAGGTACCTTTTCATGCAGACGCTCGACGGTCATTATGGGTGCGTTCCGATATTCATTGCCAGTGCTGAAACTCTACAATATACGTAACGTGTGCTATAGATTTTTCATAATGAGCCCTAAAATGAGCAGCAAAACGAGTCATGTGATCAAAATTTACGCTTACTATTCGTCAATTTTGATCACGTGACTATTAGTTAGGTCACGTGATCAAAATGAGCTTCAACGTCAGCATAAAACTGCGCCTTAAATATGTTTTAGTATTATGACTATTGGTTATTTATGAAATACCATATTATTACTGCTATATTATTAATTACGATATACTTTTATGAATTTTGTTTTATTATTACGTTATTCGTCAAATATTGATAT